TCTGAGGTAATTAATGCTGAATGGTGTTCAGCCCCTTAGAGGTACTTCCTGTAGCTTAAAGTACTCAGTGTCTCAGTTACCTGTTTCAGACATGGCTTTTGATCGTCGGGAACACCTGTGTTTGTGTTGTTTACTGTACACGAGGAGTTCTTCCTTTTCATGTTCAAACAACTGTCAGTCTCAGAATAACGTTGATCCAGCCCCACCTTTTTCCTCAGAGCTTTGTGCACTGTATTTCAGGAATTGCTGTTCTGGAGACGGTTCAGGGCTGGAGTCATAAGAGGTGTTGCCTCCTAGAGACTTCTGTCACCTGTGAAGGATAGTCTAAATCTGAACTTCCATTTAACTGAAGGAAGGTGAGCTTTTAATATATTTAGGGTTTGTTTCTTTGTTTTTGCCTTTTAGTCTGTTCGTTTGTTTTTCCTGAAATGCGAAATAATACGTAGTTGCTGAGGAATTCTTACTTGAAGGCCATTCTCTCCCTCAGGCTTTTATATACGGCCCTTAGAGCAGACACTGTTGTTTAGGGCCTTCTGACTTGGAATTTTTTGTGTCTCCCTTCTCCTTTTAGTGTTAAAGATGAGTTGAAAAAGGCAAGTTACTAATCTGCAGCCACCTGAGCCGTGCAAAACATGAACTGATTGTTGACTTTTTTTTTCTGTTAATAAAGATGTAATAATTGACCCTTCAGAAGATTAGAATCTGAACCAAATGTTCTTGGAAAATGTATGTGATAGATTTTGTCCATCACTGTATGCAACTTTGTTGCTTTCTGTTGTCTGGTTTCTTTTAAAATAAAGGTGGTGGGTTTTTTTGTTCTTTTTTTTCAGGGAAATTGTCTGTTGATTTTATGAAGATGAAGTAATGCATAAATGAACTCTTTGAATGTTTTGCCTGTGAGAATGCATTTGGATTGGGCATAACCCTGTAAAAAACTGTATAAATTTGGAAGAGGCAGCTCCTGTCTCTGTTGGAGAGATCTGCTGTTCTGTGGAGGCATTAATCTGAACTAAATTCAAAGCAGATTAGAAGAGGTCTTGTACCATAAGTCCCTTTTACTTATTAAAGGATGGGAAGAAATGCTAAGGCACCATTTGGCTGAATGAAATTGCAGAGCTTTTTGATTTTGGAAAGAGATTATGCAAATAATTATTTATTCTAATTAATAAAGTTCCTACTGAGCTATTACTATATTTTTTTCCTGAAGTGCCATTGCTAACATGTAGGAAATTAAACCTTACGGTGATCTTTAAAAGCAGTGGTCCCAAACCACACACTGAAAACACTTCATGGAATAAAAAGCATCTCGTAAGATGTTCCTGCTCTTTAAAAATGTGAAGGGATGAGAGAAATGGGAGAGAACTGAGAAGAGGTGTGTGTGGTGGAGAAATTATTTATTAAATTAAAGATAAGAAAGTATAAACTATTAAAAGCAAAGTTTAAACCTTCTGAAGTCATTAGGTGGGAAGTAGACCCCTGTAAGATATGCATGTATTGGCAACTAGAGGGTCAAGAGTAGTATTAGTAATTTGACTGAACTACAAATCCCTGTCCTTTAGAGCACAGGAAATAGGAATTTAAGAAGTTTTTCAGGGAATGTTTCTTGCTTTTTTGTCTGATAAGTTATTACCAACAGAAGAAAGATTCTGAATTGACCTGTCTTCTAGTTTGTTTTGCAAAAGTGCCCCAGCAAGAGCTCATTCATATGACCAAGCAAGCTAGCAGTGTGGAGTTCTGTGATGTAGGTGGTGTTTTTTCAGATGTACATAACAAGACAACACTGGTAAGGCTGATGAGAGATCTTTCTGAGTCCTTTTTGTGTGTTGGAGCAGCTAAGTCTGCTACCTAAGAAAGTGTTAGTGACTTTTATTACATCTTCTGCAAGTGAAGTACAGAGCTTGGCATTGGAGATCCAGCATTTAAGTAAATAGATATAAATGTAAGGTACCGGAACTGTTTTGTGTAACTTGAGAACATCAAATACTGGTAACTGCAACTGTGGCCTGTGTTGTAAATTGTGTATAAATAATATGTTATTTCTGGCAGGCATAAGTAGCAAGCTACTTCATTTCAGTATATTCTCTGTGACTGAAGTAAAAATGATACCTGGATGAGAAAATCAGAAGGGCAGCAAATGTAAGACTTTTTTGTTACCTTTGGACTCTCCAGAATTGAGGAATGCCTTCCAGATAACTACTGATATATTCTGGAATGGGAGGGGATTCTAAATCACTATTACATTTTAATAATTCCATCCACTGCTGCTCTTTGAACACCTTGTCTGTTTGTTGGCTGCTTTAAAATCAAGCTACCGTCCTCTCCTACCCTCAACTCTTCATCTGGAAAGCAGGCAAATAGGATGGGAACTGCTGTGTGCAGTTTTGGCCTTTCCAAGTAAGCTAAGGGTCTGTGTAGGAAAATATTCTTTCTGGGGAAAAGGTTCTCACATGGAATCCTTCCTTAGCTTTTATTTACATTATTTGTTTTATATTCTGTTACAGTTTCTTAGACTTACAGCCGTGAGTTGACAGAGACATCTTGATTTAAGCCTTGGTTCAGAAATATAAACTCATCTTTTCCTGCTACAGCTGGCAACAAGGCTTCCTACTCTGTGATGCAGATCCTACAGTAAGCATGAAAATATGCATCATGCAAGGTTTAGGAAAAAAAAATATGTTACATGTGCCAAGAATACTTAAAGCATTTTGACTCGGAGTCAAATCTTGTTTCGCTTGTACTTTAGAATGCTCTTGGAATGAGGATCTTAATTCATATCTCAGATTCCTGTTCATGCAAGCATTCACTCTGATTATACTGATCTGGTGAATGAAGGTGAAGAATAACCCAGAGATTATATCAATTATGATGGATTTCTTTCTCTGAAAAAGTTTTTTAAACCTCTGCAATATCTATTTCTGTGCTGTACTGAGAGCAGCAGTTAGCTCACAGTATTATCCACTGGCATCTGATCACTCCTTCAGAATATAGCCGCGTCAGGAACCTTAACTCGTGTGCAATGTTAACTTGATCTTTCTTAGTCCTCCATGGGAAAAAGAGTGTGGACACATACACACACACGACTTTGTGGTTCTTCTGGATTTTTCCAAGTAGTTCCAAGTAACTATGTATTTCAGGAACTTAAATGCACCGAACTGCTCCACAGAATCACAGAATCACAGAATGGCCAGGGTTGGAAGGGACCTCAAGGACCATGAATCTCCAACCCCCCTGCCACCCATTTAATACTAGACCAGGCTGCCCGGGGTCCCATCCAATCTGGCTTTGAACACCTCCAGGGATGGGGCATCCACAACCTTTCTGGGCAGCCTGTTCCAGCACCTCACCACTCATAGTAAAGAACTTCCCCCCCGACATCCAACCTAAATCTTCCCTTTCTCAGCTTAAAACCATTTCCCCTTGTTCTGCAGTTATCAACCCTTCCAAAGAGTTGATTTCCCCTCCTCTCTGTAGGCTCCCTTTAGGTACTGAAAGGCTGCAATGAGGTCACCCCGCAGCCTTCTTTTCTCCAGGCTGAACAAGCCCGGCTCCCTCAGCCTGTCCTCACAGGGGAGGTGCTCCAGTTCCCTGATCATCTTTGTGGCTCTCCTCTGGACCCTCTCCAACAGCTCCCTGTCTTTCTTGTACTGGAGGCTCCAGACCTGAACACAGTACTGCAGATGGGGCCACACAAGAGCGGAGCAGAGAGGGACAATCACCTCCCTGTTCCTGCTGGCCACCGCTCTTCTGATGGAAGATTGCTCCAAGTGAGTTAGGTTTGCCTTCAGTCGACGTTCCCCAGAACTAGCTGCTTTCTGCATGCTTTAGACTACTGGGACACAGGGGCATTGCTGTTTGAGGAAGGCTGGGCAGCAGCCTGTGTTACCTGCCTGGGTCAGCACTGTGCGGGGCGCTACACTGAGCTGCAGGCATGGCCTGACCCTCGTTAGAGGTCATCGGGAGCTTCAGTGCTTAAATCAGTCCTCACCTTGTAATAGTTTTACTAGAAGTTCTCCAAGTACCAACAGCCATGCAAGTGCAGTTGGATAACATGAGCTGCATTCTATCCTGCCCTGTTCAGGTGTGAGTGACGGAAGCCAGACCAGCGTCAGCTTAGCGTCTCGGTGAGTAACGGGCCGGGATCGGACCCACAACGCCGAGTTCTGCCGAGCCCACAGTTTCAATACACGTACGCCCCGTAGCCGGGTGGCCTCGGGGCTCGGCCCACAACTCCGAGCCTGCGGCGCGCCGCTCCAGCCCGGTGCCATCAGTTGCGGCTGCCGGCGGCTGCCAGCGCCTGCCACGGGCGGTGCGGGGCCCCGGAAGCGCTCGGCCTTCCCTAGCAACGCCCGGCGCCATGCCGCTGTGGCTGCGGGAGCACAGCTGGCGGCAGAGCGGCTCCGCCGTGTACCTCTCGCTGCCCGTGCGCGGCCTGCGGGTCACCGCCGCCAACATCTTCTGCACCGAGCGGTACCTGAAGGTGGGCGGCGGGGCTGCGGTCCGGCGTCGCTCCGTTAAAAAGCACGCGCTCAGCGCACCGTGGCAGCGCTGCCGATTTCGCCTTTTACAAACGTTAGGCTCTGCTGTCCCTTTGCGTGAAGCGGGCTGTTCGCGCCAATCTCTCTAGGCTGCCCTGTTCCAACGAATAATGCCAGCACCTGTCCGGTTCGGTGGGTGCTGGCTGCCTTTTCTGTAAGCTTCTGCATGAACCGTGACTTATAATGATAAACTCGAGGTCTGCCGTTTCTAGTTGGGTGCAGAAGAACACACGGTTTGGGTCTCTGATCTGGTCCAGTGGTTCTAAAAACTGCATGGTGTGCTGAGCAGCACTTGTTGCTGAGGTGTGCTGTGTGCTTGTGTTGTTTGGAACATCTGAGAATGAAATAAGAATTCAGTTATTAGTACGTGTTTGTTAATTGTATTTTTATAGGTAAGCGTTCCTCCCTTTTTATTTGAAGCTGTTTTATATGCTCCTATTGATGAGACAAACAGCACAGCAAAGATTGGAAATGGAATCGTTTTCTTCACTTTGTATAAAAAAGAAGTGGCCATGTGGGAGTCCCTGACTGTAGCAAATGGTAAGTTCTCTGTAGGGAAAAACAGATTGCATGTAAAGGACCCAAGCTGTGTGAAAACTCTTTTCAATGGCTTTGCTGCTTTTCTAACTGTATTATTTGATATAGGTAAATATTACCTTTACCTTCATGGCTTCAGAAAGTGCAAGAACTCTCATCTGTCACTGAACAATGTGGGTGTCAGCTGGGAACATTTTATTCCTTTTTTTCTGAGTCACCTTCCATTCATTCATAGGAAATTGTAGATGATATTCGTGGTGTTGCTAGTTCCATACTGATCAACTGCTGGGGCCAAAATGCTGGTTCTGAAAAGAGAGAGAAATTATTAGAAAAGCCAGTTTGGGGGGAGGAAAGATTTCTCTGATGTAATTTTACAAATCCTAACTTAAAAAGTGTAACTTCTGCAGCTACACATCTCCTAAATTGAACCTTGTTTATTGTTAAAATAGAAAGTACAGCAGAACAGATAAGGAATGTAGTGGTTCTGCTGAGCACAAAACAGTGTTTCTTATGAAACTAGCACTGTGTGTTTGTGAGTCTTAGATTTTCACGTTTAGAGATGGGCTTGATGAAAACTGCTTTGTGGAGCTGGAAACATTGCATTTTCTTAGACAAAATGTAAAAGAGGAATCTTATTTTTGTGAAAGTGGTACATCACAATAGAATTTCAGACCTAAATTAGTGAACAGTTTTCATTTATTTAAGTTAACAAGGAGGAACTGCAACATCTAAGAGAGAATGCTGTTCTAAGAGCACACGAAAAGGCGAAAGAGGAGACAGAAGCAAAAAAAGTTACAAAACAGGAACACAAGAAGTATGCTTTGGAGGCTACAATGAAGGTAAATGTAGAAGGAACTCTACGAAACATGTGGATGTAATTGCCAGTTAATCTGGGAGCTGCTTGGTTAAATGTGTAAGAAGGACTCATTTTTATTACATTGGTGGAGAATCTTGTATCTTAAAACATAGGTCTTACCAGTTATGAAATTGCTGTAAAAATACTTAGAAGTTCTTTTCATTAGTTACTCTGAAGAAAGTTTTTTGTGTGTGTGTGTGAGAGTTCAGATTTTTATCACTTAAAAGAAGACTATAATTATGGGGCAAAATGTTAATCTATTAACATTGGCCTCTGCAAACAGTGTGAGTATTTGCTCATTTGTTTTTGACAAAAATATTCGTTTTTTTAAAATCTTATTCAGTGAGGTGTCATCTTCCAGAAGCACTGGTAATTAGGGCCTCATCGGAAGGCACTTCCCAGCTCTCTAGTAATCATCATCATTACTGAATCAAAGGCAGGAAGAGCTTTAACATCAAGTATAATAAAGCAGTCCAAGTAGATTTAAAAAAAAAAAAAGTATTTTTTTCAGTGTAAGGGTGATACGTGAACAGCATATGTTGTGTGTTGAACTGAAATGAACTTTGAAGACAAAAGGAAAGCCTATTAAAGATTTGTTTGGGGAGTACCTTTTTCATTCTTTAATATGCAGGGAAAATTGGATCATACTTCCATAGTGGTAGTAAAATAGTTGAAATATATGGCTTTTAAAAACTAATCAGTTTACTGCTCATCACAATTACAGTCATTTTAAAGCATTTTTTATAACTTTACTGTGGGCTTTTGTTAATGATGATTATTTACTTGGGACATGATACTGGCAAAACCAATTATACCTTTTATTCAGACATCTTATTATTGAATGTTATGTGTCTCACAGTTCTATCATTCACACAGCTAGAAGAAGCAGAAAGAAAAAGAATTGAAGGTCTGAAAGAACAGGAGAGACAGAAAGTTGCTAAGGAGTTGGAGCTATGGAGATGTCAGCAAAACAATGTTGAGAAACAAAAGAGGGTGCAAAATGGAGGGAAACTACATGAAGAAGGAGAGCAACTGAAGGAGAAGAAAAGGGAAAAAATAAACAAAACCAGAATTCCTAATGAAGAAATTTCTAAGACCAAACTCAAAGATACAAAAGGTTGTGTTATTGAGATATATTTTAACATTCTGCAGAGTGTGGGTATAACTTTATTCCTAGATGTTTCTGGTTCATTTTTTATCTTTGTCTCTACTGTACTGAACTCTTTTTTTTTTTTGGTTTGCAGTTACATTTGTGTCTTTATTTTCTTGCAATTCATTGAGCTAAAATGTGTGAGTTCTTAGCTCTCATTTAAATCTTTGGAAACACAAGCCAAGTTTTGTTGTAGGCTTTAGCAAAGTAGAACAGAAAGTCTTTCTAACAGTGCAGAGCAAACTCTCTGAGGGTGGAGTTCATGCTACCACTGAAGTGTCTAAACTGCCATTTTTTTTGCAGAGATAAGCAGTCTCATTTCACTCTCCCATGCCTTGGCCCTGCAGAGAGCTAATGAGGAACTAAGCCAAGAAAAATTTGTTCCTTTTGGTTTTGTTTAAATTGTTCAGTAAGATTAGTTTTAGGTCTTACACTTGCCCTGCTAGAGAGTCATGTAAGTGAAAGAGTGCTTTAAAAAGAACCCATTTCTGACAGCATAGTGTCAGTAGTACATTGCATGCTTAGCAGCAAGAACAAATGCTGTTTGAAACTTTCCTTCAATAGAATAAGTCCCAACTTTCCTGAAGGTTTATTTCTAATAACCAGAATTTCTAGATTAGGTTTATTTTGGAATTTGGTAGAAAAACAGAAAAATAATGCCTTTTCCTTCTCTTTTCAATTCTAGTACTCTAATTCTTTTGTAGGTTGTGGCTCCTATAGTATCTTTTCAGAGAATTTAAGAGAAGAGCAGATGCCAGCTCCTCGACCTGCCGGTACTATTAAAATCAACTTCACATCACGAGTTTTTCCTACAGCTCTTCGAGAGTCTCGTGTAGCAGAAGAGGAAGAGGTAGGGATTGTTGTGTTTGTCTGGTGCTTCTCTTATCTTCCAGGATGGCAAACTATTTACCCTTTGTTCAGGAAGTTGGCAAAAATGTTACCTGTGGTCTGTTCTTACCTTCCAAGGAATACAGTCTTGTCTAAAGCTTTGAATACTTTTCACCATGCATTGTGTAGATAAATGACTTTTTTTTTTTTTTAATTAAAAATTTGCAACACTGAATTCCATGAAGTACAAGGTTTGAAATTTCTTTGCTCTTACACTTAAGACTCATTAAGTTCTGTCTTAAAAAGGAACTCTCTGAAGCTTACCTCTCACAATAAGTCTCTCTTGAGCTTTACTGAATAGGTATTAATAATGCAGTGACCTTACTTCTCACACAGCAATAAAATATTTGGGGAAAATAGGAAATTGTTCCTGTCTTACATTAATGAATATTTATCGCTGCCCAAAATATGAGGCAAATAGAATTCTTTTGGTAGACTGAATGAGCAGATAAGAACAGTATTTAATTTTTCCTTCAGAAATAATACTTGCAAATTGTATATTTAAAGTGGCTACAAAAACAGGCAGAAGCTCGAAGGATAATAAATGCTGATTTGTCTGAGCTGGAAGATTTAAAAGAAGAGGAGAAAAATCCAGACTGGTTAAAGGACAAGGGAAAGTAAGTTAGATTCCATATGAAGATTTATTTAAAATGAAATATTAGTTACACTGTGTTTGTCTTATGTATAATTGTGATATTTTTGGTTTATTCTAAACACAGATGAGGAATGTCTACACAGTGAAGAGTTTATTGATAGCTTAAGGGCTTTTAATCTCATAGAAAGTCATGAGATGAAATTGCTGAAGGAAATTCATCATTTAAAAATAAAATCATAAACAAATACAGCACATTTTCATACTGAGGACCGTTAGTGAAATATTATGCCTAGGTGATTTCCTGTCAGTTGCACATATTCAGATGTTAAATACCTGTCTGAAGCAAGCACTAGGAATTTATAAAACTATTGGTGCATTTATGTAGCTGTGTTATACAGGATGTTTTGATTAGATAATCATGATCTGATGTATCTCTTAAAATTAGTCATGTGGCTGCATAAATGTGTCCACTTTTTGCTGATCTGCACATGTGACTTTGCAAAACATGATCAATGTGCTATGTTCTGTGCATTGTTTGACATTCTGAACATTAAGTTCTCAGAAAAAGTTGTAAACGACAAATGGAACCTGCTAAATCCATAGTTTTTGCTTAATTCTTATTAAGAAGTAGATATTTGTTTCATGATGCATTATCTTGTTGAAATCACGTTTCACTTCTTGCTTTATACTTAGCAAAATGTTTGCAACAGGAAACTATCTTGCAGCTGTAAATGCATATAACCTTGCAGTCCGACTAAACAATAAGCTTCCACTGCTGTATTTGAATCGTGCTGCTTGCCATCTTAAGCTGAGAAATTTACACAAAGCCATTGAAGATTCCTCTAAGGTATAAACGTATAGATTCTCAGACTATTGTCTTATACGCACTTGTGATTTGTTATTGCAATACTTCTGTTTCAGAAAGATCTGTAAAAAAAGTTATAGTGCAGTTCACAATTTTTAAAATTGGAATTGATATAATGAAACCAGTTGACTTGGTACATGCTTCTTTAATGGTAAAATATCATAGGAACACTTTCACTCCAGGGATTAAAACAAAACAAACCACCAACTTGGAACAGAAAAAGTACTGAATATGCACAAATACCTGTTGTATTATATTGTAATGTTCTTCACATGATGGGAAGAAAAAAGAGGTGGCAGAAGTAGTAAGGAAGACACCTTAAAAATACCAGACATTTTTCAGTAAGGGTTGCATCATCTCTATGTATTAACCATGGCAGTGATAATATGTTTATCAAACTGTGGGATGAGTGATAGAAATACTAGTGAGTTATGTAGGCTGTATAGTTACATTTCAATTGTAATTTATTAAGTGAAAGGAAGATGTGTAAGTTAATCAAACAAAACCCACCCCAAACAAACAAAAAAATCAACGAAATTGTGGAAAATCTACTTGTAACTATTTCTGGTGTTTTCATTTGTGAAGGCACTAGAATTGCTAACACCACCTGTTCCTGATAATGAGAACGCTCGAGTAAAAGCATATGTGAGACGTGGCACAGCCTTTTGTCAGCTGGAGCTGTATGCTGAAGGTAAGACCTTGATCTTTGTGAACACATGCACATGGACCCATTCTGACAACTGAGTCATTGGTTTAGCTCAGTGAGACTGCTCACAGCTGTGTTTCTTTTTTTTTCTTTTCAGGAAGGACAATTTACTGGCTAATTGCAATTCCACTTGATTTTTTTAAATCTTAAGTTGTCAGAGAATTGATTATACTTCTAATTCAGGGGGTACACATTAGTTTCATTGAGGAAAAGGCTTCAGTGAGTTGTTGTATCATCCTCCCTTTGGTCCGCTGGGTAGTCAGTCTTTCTGTGCATTGCAGCCAAATCTTGACTGTAGCAAGCTGCTGGCCATGGAGGGTATTATGTGGAGTGAAATGAGAGGTCAGAGGTGAGACTTTCAAATTAGGAACCATTCAAAAGTGGCAGGCAAACTGATGTGAAACTAGGTTGCAGTACTTCAGCTGTTCATGAGACAACACTATACTGATTTTTAGATTATAGCATTAGCAACTATAGAACACCTTAATTAAAATAACCTGAAATATTTCTAAATTACTTGTTTGTGACCTTTGTAGTAACATGTCTTTTTAAACCTGTTTATGAAATCCATACTGACCAAAAAGATGTTTATCAAGTATGTGTCATCTTTATACAGATATGAGTTATGTGTCCCTTGGCTTTGTAAGGCAAAGTTAAAAGGGAAAGATGATAATAGCAAGTGAAGAATGTTCAAAATGTTTATGCAAAGCTTTTCCCAGCTGTTATCTTATCTATGAATCCCTTTGTCACTTCCTTGCAATTTCACTTGTACAGGAAAGCCTAATAAGGACTACTTCCTTCCGTCCTTCCTTCCATCCTTGTGTGCCTCTGTTATAATTTTGTCTGATGTAGAAACCATTTGATTAGGCTGTTGTGCTCATTTGTTTATTTGTTAACTGAATGGCAAACTTAGAACAACTGTAAGATAGTCTGCAGGTAGAAGCCCTATCCTGTGAAAAGTCTTTAGGCTGAAGAAAGCCTAAGTTAGACCAAAGTTAGTTGACCTCTGTGTGTGAGCAGAGACACATACATATGATGAAGCGGGTCTCTTTTGGTGTTTCAGGACCTGAAATGTTTGTGTAGCAGTGATGTTTCCATTAAAATATTTTTAAAAATAATAGGAACCAGGTATACATTTAGTATACTGACAGCAGTTAATCCTGTTGTTCTGATCCGTTTTGCTCAATAGCAAATTTCAAGAGCAGTACATTATGCAGTCAGCCAGGGAGCATTTATTTCCAGTTAGTTGCTAAAGAGGAAAAGACATTTGCATTAATGATTGACGCTCTTATTAATGTATTGATAGGTCTCCAGGATTATGAAGCAGCTCTCAAGATTGATCCTAAAAATAAAACCATAGAAAAAGATGCAGAGAAGATTCGACACACAATTCAGGGAACAGTGCAAAATTCTTAAAAATAAAAAAGGACCTTTTTGTGCCTTTTGGGGGCCTCAGAAGGAGCCTTAGTTCATGTTCTCTTCAGTATGTTGCTAACTAGATTTTTTTTGTTTCACTTGGAATACCTACTGAATTTATAAAATACTGGATATGAGTAGTTATTTTTTGGCAAGCATGGTTCTATAACAAATACGATTAGATATACTGCGTATCGTTTTGATACAAGGTTGTCAAGTTTTTTTTCTGTGCTGTGTGTTGGGCTAAAGAATAAAACATACCTTTTGTACTTGATTTGAAGTTACCTACAGCCAAATAAATTACTTGTCTGGAAGTATCTACTGAATGTAGACAGTGAGTTTTCAAACATCTTCAGTAGTTCCCTGTAGTCAGCACAAAACTTCTCTTCCTGTTCTTCACCAAAGACAAAACAGTTATCTGTGCTTGGATACTAGTGAAAGTATCTGCTGTGAAGTCTATGTGAAGTATAAGTTTTGTAATTTCATACATTTTATATGGATTTGCACTAGGAAATATTACTTTATTTTTAATAAATCTAACATGGATGGTGGTCTGAATTTTTGTGCCTGTTGAGCACTCGCAATTCCTGCTGCAGTCTGAAGGCTCTTCTCTTTTTTATGTGCTTTCCTCTTTTCTTTGTGCTTGTAGAGCTTGGTATATCTGAAACTAAGACAGTGAATTCATACACTGTAATTCAGGCACCCAGTTTAGATAACCTCCACCTGAAATCATGAGGTAAATTTTATGTAGCATAGAATATTCTTTTTTAGCAGCCATGTTTTGTAAATATTTGCAGACTATTTTGTATCATTTGTTTGGGCTGACCAAGCAAGGGAATTGAGAAAGAATGTACAAATGTATATGTAGATAAGATATTCTGTGCAATTTTCATGCTGTTGAAACAAGGAGGGGGTGGCAGGTGTTGCTTCCAGATGTTTGACCTAGAGCCTTGGGAGTTGTGCTGAGCTGAGTCAGAAATGCCGGGGGTAGCTGCCATCTTATCTGCAGATACTGAATTGCAGGGCAGGGAGGTGTGAATGCTTTGTTCATGGCAGTTGAAAGGAGGGCAGTGCCTCAGTTAAGTGTAATACTACACTTGCCAAAATATGGTAACTTTCTTTCAGGTGAGTACTGAGGAGAAGCGAGACTTAAGATAAGGAGTCACTGTTGAGAGGAGGAAGATGAAAGAAGCAGGTTCTGTTTTTGAGTCTCTAATTCTCTGGTTTGGAGTCTGTTAGAATAACCTGTGTACATTACACAATATATACATCAATATACAATATTGATAAGTTATATTATTGATAAGTTATACAATACTTTGTATTGTACTGATCTGTGATAGCTACTTAAGGCTGTTTCTGATGTAGGCAGGCGCCTTTTTCTACTGCTGTGAAATAGACACAGTTCCCTTACGAGAGCCTGCAGAATCGAATGTACTTGGTGGTACAGATAACACCAGCCTGTCTGGTTTGGCTACGTGGGGAACAAATGGAGTAAAACTGATCTCAACACCTGAGCTTGTGCTGTGTATACCACATCAAAGTCAGTTTTGGTAGGCTGATACTTAGTGTCCTGGGATGTAGCAGTGCAGAGTTTTAAAATCAGAAAATAATTTGAACGTAACCATTCCAGGAAACGACTCCTGCATTTGACTCTTCCTACAGATTTGAGTTACACATATGATAGGTTTCAAAAGTTTTATTTTTGCAGTTTAGTTTTGACTCGGAGAAGCGCGTCATTAATGTGCTACATCTTTTTGGGTATGTTTTACTCACAGCAGCAAACAAAACAACTGAAATATTTGGCTGTTATTCCCAGAACAACTGAAACAACAAAGTCAGAGTTCTTAAAGCAAAGCGTCTGGTCTGTGAGAGAACGGACTTGTTTGTTACAAAGTATGCTGCAAGTTGGGGTAGTCATAAACCCTACTTCTGTCAAAGGCAGTATTTCAATAACTGTCTTGAGATGATCCACAAGTGAGTAAGTGTTCTGGAAATGTTTGATCCTGGGGATGATACGTATGGGGCAGCATCTATGCAGTAGGTACTGCAGCGTTGTATTCGTATGAGGCTGTTTCAAACAGCAAAACCTGAGGCTTTGCCAAAGAACTGCTGGTCAGGAGTATGCTGGGCTCCAGCATGCAGGAGGACATGGGATTCCAGGGGTTTGTGTGGGGAGGAGGATGAGGAGATGGTTTTTTTCTTGGTGATTGAGGCATTTTCCCAGCAGAAGTCATCTTGCCCTGCTAAAGAAGCGAATTTTGCTCAGCCTTTCACATACTGGGGCAGAACATCTCACATTTGTTCATGTTTGTGGTCAGAGTGTTGTGCAAGGCATGTAGTGAAATACCCGGGTGCAGCAGGGAGCTGCACACTGCTTGCTTCTGATCTGTAGTCAGCTGGGGGCAGGGAGAAATGAACTCGTGTTGAGATGTAGTAGCAAAGCTTGACGTGGCATTAATTTCTGCATCAGCGATAAGCTTTTGAGTATACGTGCCTTAATGTGTGACAGGAGCAGTAAGGGCGATAAGAAAATACGTGTAAGAATAAGGCGATGTGGTTGTTACGTTTCGCTTTTGGCTCTTCCAATCTGTCAGAGGCTTGCCCGAAATAGGGCTCCCGTTCACCCCCTTTCTCAGTGCGAGCGGCGCGGTGCAGTCGCCCAGGAGCGCTGTCCCTTCGCCCGGGGCTCCGGGGATGAACCTCCAAAGGCCGGGCTGCTCCGCGGCCCCGCGCCAAGCTCGGCGGTTCCGCTGCGGCCACGGTGCGCGGCGCGGCGTCGCCATAGCAGCCGTGGGCCGGCGGGGCGGGGCCGGGCGCGCGGCGCGGTGCGCTTCGGGCGCTGTAGTCGG